CGCAACGAACGAAATGAATTTTGAGAATTAGTTAGGTTCGGACAACCTCCGGAGATTTACGAAAATGTCCGAGCAGAAACCGCCATATTGGAATTTGGCAGTAAAACGATTCACTCGACTAACAATTACAAGTCTTGATCGAAAAAGAAGTACTCCAGCGCTCCAATACTTACACGGATTGATGATACTGATGTAAGACACAGTTAGAGACCAAAAGTAAGCCGCGGATCGACTTAATTCGATTTCAAAGGTCACGATCATTGAGCTGTCCAAATGCTCCGTGGGAAAGCTATTATATTAAAATCCAAATAGCTTTCGCAGGAAGTAACAATTAGCTACTCTCATGCTCTCCTGCCATATGGTATGGTTTCTAAACGCTGTCTTAACTGATTTAAATCCATACTTAACTTAGGCATCTTTACTGCCCTGTCAACCCTCACGCATAAGGCGTGATTGTCACGCATTTGCTGGAAAAATAGAAATCACGCGTCAATTTAGCGTGTATGATCAAATATCACGCAAAGCACGCATTTTGTTGAAAGTTTTAAAAATCGATTTTTGTGAAATACCGACACGGTAAAATACCGAACGGCGAAAAAAGCGAACGCATTCCGTTCGGTCTTTGCACGCGATTGCCGTTTATGTCACGCATTTGGTACAAAATATGTGTATACATCAAGGGCGTTACAATACCCGGGAATTTATCGGTTCGTGCAGTACTTGTTTGTGATAGCGCCATCTGCAGGTCACTGTGGTTATAGCCTACATAATACGGGGTAGGATATCGGGAATTCGGTGCACTGAGTTTCTATCCGTCGATTACGCTATGAATTGAAGCAAGTGTGACCACTTTATCCACTTAAACAATTTGATAATTGATTAAATCGTTAAACAAAATCGATAAACACGTCATACACTTCCCATCTCCTTAGAAATTAGCATGTATTTATCGGATTGTGTTTTCGGACGATGCTCGACCCAGACCACTAGGGAAATCCTTATGCTAATTAGTATGACGTCATATTTTCCTGGGAAATCCTAGATTTCAAAGCCTCGGTCTTTTATTGTGTCATATGTAAACGTTCTTTTGCAGACAGAAAATTGACAGATTAGCTTTAACTTTCAGCTTTGATGTTTAAATATTCCATTTTTCTACCGGACTTCTTGCTGAATATCATATAATGTTATAACTTGATTTGGATTTTGGACGATTGCCTGATTGATCCTTTCTGAAATTTTGATTGTGATAAACGATTGATTGGCAAGAAAAATAATTCCTATTGTTTTCCAGCGAAGTCACTAAATGTTACAGCATAAATTATAATAAGTGGGAAGTAGAATAAAGGATGGGCGGGGCCAGGGGATTGGTGGCCCTACCAGCCCCACCAATTCACACGCATACACATAAGAGACAAACACACCCAGGCCGTGATGGAAATATAAAACTATTTAGGGCACAAAATGATATTTAATAGACCGATATGTAGTGAATCCGCCATATATTGAAGGTAAAACAATCTGCATTATTGTTACTTCTATCAATACATGGATTGTGCAATGGAAAATGTGCATACTGTATCAATCGTGAATATCTCTCGCTTCAAAGCTTAATTCCAACAGAATCGTGTCAAAATATGTGTCTGAATAACAGTTATACATTATAAGATCGCAAACTCTTACAAATTATCAGCCGAATGGCTAATTTTCAACGAAATGTCCTTAAGACAACAGCCCTGGGTCGCGCCTATGACGAAAATAAACTTGAATATCCCTCCCCTAAATAATATTGATAATCACATTTATGCGTGCGCGCGCAGCTCATCCACTGAACGAAGCGCCACTTCCCGCTGAAATCACCGGGTATTGATCTTTCCCTTGTATACATCACGCATTTGTTTCTAAAATATTCACACCTACACTCCCCCCCCTTGACGGATTTAAACAGCGAGCGTAAGCGAGCTGAAAAATTCAAAATCAGCCAGTGTTCACTGAAGCTGTCCAAAGTTTGAAGGAAGGTGTTCAACATTTGGAAGTCACTCATGTTAGATGGTCCCAAGTTGACAGCCCTGTCTTTAGCTAGGATACAATTGATGAGGAAAGCTAAGTAAATACCACTTCCCGACCACTTCCGGGTAGTACAGTGCTTTTTAATACTTTAAAAACGAAGCCATGCCAACTCTTCAATGGTGTGTAAACTGTATAGTAGGTTTAAGTGTATGCAATGTAGCCATTTGAGGTATGTATGTAAAGCTGAGACCAAGTACTTTCTCAATGTGCCATTTTAAGAAAAAATCGCAAGAATATAGTCCCGTAAACTGGAACTACTTTATTCGTTAATTTTCATCGGTGAAGCAGGGATTTTACCTAAAAGTAAGTCCCTATGTTGGCGTAGTGATATTTAAAAATCGAGACGCAAACCCTTTGTTAAATATAGTGTCAAGATGAAGGTTATGTATAGGGGAACGCAGAAATATAGTCATCGTTCGTTCGAAAATGGCGATATGTACCCCAGAACTTGAATTTTGTGATTTTTTTCAATATTTTTCAATGATTTACCGTAGTGACACCTTAATATCCCCGCCTTAGATTAGCTGCTATTTGCGCAGAGACCATGGATGTTGTAGAATTTCAAAATAAAGACGATATTTACATTCAGGCTAGGCCACACAATTCTTTTAATTCACATTTAAACATCCTGTACCTATCAGAATGGTCAAACGGGGGCCCAAAGGGATCATAAATGGGAGAAAATCAACTGGAATTCCATCAAAAGTGCTGGTCATTTCCGAAATTACATGATTTTAAGGTTCCATACCTCATTTAAATTGCTACAATGTTGCAAATTATCATTTTTACAGGCTTAATAAACACGCCAGGTGTATCATAGGAAGAGTAATCAAGATTAATTTGTAAATTGCTACATTCTAGCAATGGTATGAGTATGATGTCACAATTCACTGGGGCCTAACTGGCGTAATTAGGAGAAAAGGGCAAATTTTGCACATGGGGACCAGATTTGACTCAAAATATTTGCATTTAGCAACATACATTTCAGTTCATTCTGCGTTATACTTGAAAGGCATTGCTATAATGATTGACAAAATGAAATAATCTCGGAGATTTTGCGTCTAAAATTTTTGCATGAGATCTCTAAAGTTGATGACCCAATTTTAGGTCATTTTGGTCGGTTTTTAGACTCAGCCCTCACCTATTTTCCCAAATATGGCTAGCTAGATTTTGTAGAAAACGTGTTAAAAGTTTGGAAATGCAGCTGTTTCGAGCATGAAATAACTCAATTGTTTGAAAACTTGAAATGCTAAATGAGCAAAAAATATCATAAGGTATGAGGTTCCATATCCATCCGCCAAAAGGTATGACCCCCTATATAGTCCATTTAAAAACTCGTGGTATTGTTCTAAATAACGCCATAGTTTGCTTCTAGGGTACCTAGTATGCCACTATTTGGTATCAAAATAAAGAGGAGGAGTTCAACTTTCATTTGAATTACGAAAATAGCGATGTAGGTCAAAAATAGTTCCGACGTGAAGGTGTTTACTACGCGTTTGCCCGTCATATCAGAATTGAGGAAGTGGTAGCAAACGCGAGTCACAATAAATGGACGCTGATATCTCAAAAATTATTATTTGTACATTCATGTTATCGTATAAACATGCGTGTTGCCAAAATGTGTCTCTGCGGCTGCGTCGCCGCTGGAAAATATACAAAAATGTTTATAATGGACAATTGATTAACATACTCGATAATATAGTCATAACATATCTCATTTTCAAAATTAAAAAAACAAACTTTCCGACCACCTGTTAAACCTTTTCTATCTTTAGCATCACAAACTCATTAATGCCCATTATTATTCTGTTGAGAACACGATGCTAAAAATCTTTGAAATCCTCAGCAACTTGAGGTTAAAGGAAAAAGGTTTGTCCGAAAAAATTTTCATAAACATTTTAAAGACATTTACTTAGTTTATCTCGCCGCTTAGAGCCGAAGTGATATATTCACCAATACATACACCGTTCACTCAGTAATATTACATTTACAGTTACCGTTCTATTTTCATAACGTTAAACGACCAAATAGAAATAATTTTTTTGCTTATTCGTACTACGTGACTCAAACGCAATAAAATACATTTCTATTCTAACCTACACTTAAGAAACATAACATTAACTAGCATGTGGCTCTGCGGCTGCGTGAAGTTTTAAAGTAACCCCCCTATCACACCAAACTAGTTCTTACCCGTTCTTGCAAGTCCTACGAAAATGACGTAAAACGGGCTCAATCTGGCTGCGGTCGGGATATATGTCTAAAATAATTAGCTACTCAGTTCATAAACAGTCTTCAATACGTCCATCTCATTCGCAGTTCGTTCAGGTCGCACCACGTCGGTGTGGAACGTAGTATAAACTGTCCCTTAGTCTAGAAGGTCATGATGACCTGATTACAGAACGGTATGGTCGCCATCGAATTTTGAATCGATTCAAAATTCTAAATCACATACTCCGTCCGGGAAAGTCCATGAAGTTCGTAAACAGACCGTAGAACGTTGTAGCTAAGTTCATTCAGTTCGCACACAGTTTAAAACCGATTCGGCAACGTTTTGACGATCACCAGAAAATTTTGAGCATGCTCTAAGTGCTGGAGGACCTACTCGTTCTAGTAGTTTCATGAAGTTTGTAAACAGATCCCAAACGGTTCTTAGTGGGTTCTTAGTACGTCAAATCCGTTCGTGCACAGTTTAACCCCGTTTTCGAGAACGTAGTGAGAACTAGTGTTTCTTTGACAATTGAGTAATTTCATGCTCGAAACAGCTGCATTTCCAAACTTTTAACACATTTTCTACAAAATCTAGCCATATTTGGGAAAATAGGTGAGGGCTCAGTCTCTAAAAACTGGCCAAAATGACCTAAAATTGGGTCATCAACTTTAGAGATCTCATGCAAAAATTTTAAATAAATGATTTGAACATATTATTTATTTGTAGGTGTCTGATGACGAGATCATCACGCCAAAGAAATACAGTCAAATAAGTCGGGACACTGCAATCGACATTAATATGACAGATGCCCAAGTAGAAGACGCGTTTTTCCAGTAAGTTAAAGACAGGAATGTATTTATCGAAAAAAAGAAAACATTATACAGGAAATAACCACAATCTAAGATTGCACTGTTCATTTTTTGCTACACCATTTTTTCTTTTGGATTTAAAAGTAGCACTGTTCAAAGTTTACAAGGTTGAGTTTAGGGGTAAGTTTTTCTTAGTGGCGTTTTATTCTGGTGGCTGTTCATTATTAAAGCATGTTACGTTTAAAAGGTACTCTCTTGGAGAGGGCCCATGGTCTTAAAAGATCAAAATAGATTATTTTAGATATTTTAAATACATTTTTCTGTTGCATAATTTGCACTTTGGTACTGCGGGTGGGTTAGGTAATTGGACTAGAAGGATAGGTGAGCAAAATAATATAGGCTACTGCAAGATTAACATCAAGATTTATTATGGATGGACATTTTAGAACTATTTTTGGAACTGGTATTCTCCACAAACAGATTTGCATGTTCGTATTGTCCACGAAACATTAAAAGTCAAACTGTATTATACATTTTCATCAAGTGAAATACTTTTGTGCCTCATGTAACATGAGAGGTCACAGAGATCGAGATGAACATTTACACCTCAAGAAAGCATCCAACTGTGCTGGTAGGCCATTTGGAATTTTGTATTTTAAAATTTTAAACTCTTTGGCCAACGCAAGGGTAACGCTATGTATCGTGATCAAATAAAGGATCTCGAAGCTGAATTTAATTATATGAAGACCCTAAACAAAGCTCAGCAGAAGGAGCTTAAAGCTCTCAGGAAAGATATTAATGCTATACAGAAGGATATACCCTATAAGGGTTATGTACTGGGAGGTTTTGGATATAGGGTATAACCTGAGAGATATAGGGGTTATGCACTGGGAGGTTTTGGATACATGATATACAATATATCTTCCCGAGGGACCGAAGGGACCGAGGGAAGATGTATTGTATATCCCAAGGGATATTCCATGTATCCAAACCGACCGTGCATAACTGGTGTATCTCATACTTGAGTGGGTTTAGGGTAGATATAACCTTTCCACCTTTTTCAGATGACAAGATATTTATATTGAACATTTTCGTAATATTCTTTTTGTTCAATACAATGAAATTGTAACATTTAAACTTAAAACATTTTAATTTCAAAATTAAAAAATTAAAACTTTTGATATTTAAACTTTTTTAAACTTTTGAAAAATTCCCGGGAGCGGGATGGATATATTATATCTGCCCGCATTTGGCCTGGAGCGGGACATATACAATATATCCTGCCCGCTCCTCAGATACGATATATATTCCCGGGTGATATCTACCCCAAACCCACTCAAGTATGAGATACACAAGGGTTATGTACTGGGAGGTTTTGGATAAACACTGTATCCAAAACCGACCGTACATGACTGGTGTATCTCATACTTGAGTGGGTTTGGGATTCCACCTTTTTCAAATGACAAGATAGGCCTATACTGTAAAAGCACAATTTATATTTAACATTTTTGGAATATTCTTTCAGTTCAATACAATAGAATTGTAACATTTAAACTTTTTGAAAAATTTTAAACTTCTGAAATTTAAATTTTTAAATTTTTTTAACTTTTTTAAACTTTTGAAAAAATTCCTGGGAGCGGGATGGATATATTATATCTGCCCGCATTTGGCCTAGAGCGGGACATATACAACATATCCTGCCCGCTCCTTAGATATGATATATATTCCCGGGTGATATCTACCCCAAACCCACTCAAGTATGAAATACACATGAATATGCAAATAATGTAATTGTGCAGAATCAAGAATCAGCAAATTTGAAAGCTGAACTTATTGAAGCACAACTGAGAGTCAGTGTGTTGACCTCAAAGTCAAATGAATATACTGCCGATCTTGAGCTAAAGTTCAGGGCAAAGAGCTGGACAAATCAGAGCGAAGAGCTGGACATATTCAATACTTTCATCAAGAATAAACGAGAGAAACGTGATGGTCTCGTAAACTCCCGTTCAACAGAATCGTCTATTGTTTTGAGGGACTACCTAGGAAACAGAATCATGCACAACTCCCGAAATAGAATCCATATCCCACACTCCACGTTGATGTCTGAGAACCTACTGTGTGCATCATCTGACTACTGAATTATAATAAACATTTTGTCATTTTAATTCGCCGGATTTTATTATTTTGATCACATGATGTCTTTCATCAATTTCGGGATTATGCCCTATTATGGTGTTAATTGATCATCAGCAACGTAGCTGCTATTTGTAGTGTTTATGTAATGTTTTACCTTTTGATGGGAAGGAAGATCTTCATTTTTATATAGTTGAATTACATATTATTTTAAAATTTGCCCCTCTTCACTTCCATGATATTTGCATTTTATATTTTTATTTTCATTGATTGATTCTCATACATTTCATCAATCTCTATTTGCTTCCTTATTTATATTAACAGGTCACTTTAACTCACTTGCATCAATTAGTTCTATATTGCGGGAAATGCTTTCCTGGCCTGTCTACCCGATCAAGTTCACACAAATGATAAATTCATTTCTTTGCTTCAACTATAAAGTATTTAATTTAGTATCTTAGGCATGTAAAACGCTTGGTTATTGAAGAAATATAAGCATGCTGCTTGAATTTTAAGGTCACTTCCGGTTTAATCTGATAGTCTAGATGTAAAACTATATCAAAACGAAATCATAAGTGTTTGTTCACGAAGATTCAGATGGAGGAAAGGCAGTGTCGTTAAGAAGGGAAGTAACGTGGAAAAGTTATTGTTTCAGAAATGAGAAAAGTGAGTAGTATGAGAGAACGGCTTTTAAATCTTTGTGTAATAAATAATTATGATTCCGTTTCGATGCATGTTTACATTTAGACATCCGGAAACAACATTTAGCAACATTTCGGGCGATAATGAAAATATACTTCAATTGATTATATTTCGACAATTATCAAGCGTTTTATATGTCTAAGGTAAGATTTAACACTTTGATGTTGGAGCCAAATAATAAATCGATAATTTGTGTGACTTTGGTTGGTATGGTTACCCAGACAGGCAGACAGACCAGGAAAGCGTTTCCCGCATTTTGTTAGCTATTATATCTACGACCGTGTATGCTGAGAAAATGATAAAAAAATAAATATCCAAATAAGAACAAGGAACATCGAAGAACAGCATACAACGGTCGGATTTATATGACTAATGTGTAGGTCACATGCATTCACTCACTCATGAGTTTGGGTGTTGACCCAGTAGTTTACTAGCAGTTGTTGCAGAGATACATGCATGTGATACAGTACATAATTTTATGATTGGATTTTGAAATAGACTTATTTTATCATATTTTTTATTGGAGTGTGAGTTATTTTTATTTTCTGCCCACGGGCCTACCAATGGCGACGTTACAAAGAAATACGTAAAATTGACAGCCTTTTCCAGTTTATCAACCCACCAGCAAGTTGAATGCAAGACAAGATTGCGGATAGGAAGAAAGGGAGATGGGGGTTGGGACGCGTGTAATGATGAGCCATTCAAACTAAGGAAACCATGTCTCGTTTATTCTATTGGGTAGGTACTAGGCAACTGGATTATCCAATTCCATAGTGTGTAATGCTCGTTAATCTTTTAAATTGGATGCATTATCTAGTATCATCTCCATCAGTTCGTTTTCAGAATTAACTAGAAAAACAGCAACTTCACGGAGTAGCAAATCCAACCGAACAAAACATATTTTGATTATGAGTGGCAATTTTGAAAATTCCTTCTTGGGCAGAGTTTGTTTGTCCCTAGGCATCAACATATACCATGTAAACCATATCCGTCAATTAGCATTTGAGTTATCAAAGATTACATTACTTTTTTTTATGAAAAATGGCAGCCATTTTGAAATTCAGCCACCATTTTGAAATCTTTCTTGAAGAGAGCTACTGTGTCCCTAGGCAACAGCATATACAATTTGAACCAAATCCGTTCACTGCTATTTGAGTTACGAAAATGGCGGCCATTTCAAAAGTCAGTCTTGAACATTCTTTGTCAAACAGAGGTACTGTGTTTCTAGGCTCCAGATCCGTTTACTGGTATCTGTTTATCAAATATTACGCTTTTTATGAAAAATGGCGGCCATTTTGAAACTCAGCCGTCATCTTGTAAATTATTTTTTGAACAAATCGACTTTGTCCCTTAGCATCATCGTATAAAATTTGAATCAAATCCGTTAACTGGCATTTGAGTTATCAAAGATTACATTTTTACGAAAAATGGTCGCCATTTTGATATTTAGCAGCCATTTTGAAAATGTTTTCGTCAGCATAGCTCATTTGTCCTTAAGCATCAGCATATAAAATTTGAACCAAATCCGTTAAGCAAGAAAATTGTGGGATAACAATGATCGTGGACCAATGAAACTTGGTAGAATGAAGTACCAGATATATTTTTTGGATGACTGAGTTATTAACATTTGTTTGGGATACCTTTTGTGGCTCACCCTGTATGATCTCCATCAATTTTATTTTCAGAATTAACAACGATTGGAGTTTTGATGACGCTGTTGTACAGCTGGCTGGTTGCGAGGTCCATGCATTTGACCCAACGTAGGTAACTAGACATAAATAGAATGTTGAAATTCTTGTATGGGAACACATACAAAAATGTTATCAGTGTTGCCAAATGAGGTTCAGGGTATACGATGCTAAAACTCCCACTCAAAGAACTTATACTCGTAATAAATATAAATAAACAAGAAATATATCTCAAAATTGACCAATATTTAAGATTTCCCCAGATTTACAACTACCATTTTGTAATTAATGTTTACTTCTAAATGATGTTTACATCTAGTATGAACACAACCGATCACAAGAGAGGGGAATCCATATACTTTCACAATATAGGAGTAGGGGCAGAAGACACAGTGAATGACCTTGGCTGGAAGATGAGGCGTGTTTCAACAATCATGAAGGATCTGGGACATGACGAGAATGTAAGATATACATGTACTTTCCTTAAAAGATTCTGCAGCCGGAAAACTCATTTTATATTTCCGATTTCAACAAAATTATATTTGTGTTGATTTCAAACATATATCCTAACAGAATGTCATTGCTCAAAATACGGGTAATTCTTTAACTTTACTTTACATTTTATGTTTTGTAACGTTTTTTATTGTATAAGCAAGGAGGGTTGGAAGCCAGAGTTCCAACTCGATACTCTTTAATCTCCAAATAATGCGATATTGCCGATCATGCCTGTATATTTCTCCGGCTGCAGGGAGAATTAACGATATTCTCCAACAAAGTTGGCGTCATTATTGTCGATATTTACCTAGCTATAAGTTCACAATCAGCATACGAAATATTCAAACTGATGACCATTAATTAAGCCACTAATGATCTTGATCATTTCTTGTGTGTTTTAATTTTTTTGTTTGGTAATGATACCAAACCTTGCGATTCGAATTTTGAAGGGAGAAATACGACTCCGGGACTGACGCTAGCTTTGTTAGGGAGTATCGATGTTGCATTCTGGCTGCAAATCCTCCTTGTTGTATAGCACACAACTCATTATTTTACCCATTATGCAATAAAGCACATGCTTTAAGCCGGAAGTGAATTTATATTTTCAGAGGATAATAGACTTTTTCAAAATGGACATAGAGTACTCAGAATGGAATGTGTTTCCTGGCATGATCGAGGATGGAATTCTGGGAAAAATCAAACAATTAGTTTTTGAATACCATACACACATGCGAAAACATACTGGCGATACCATAGCAAGCTCTCACAATAAAGAACCAACAAAACAACAATATTTAGCAATGTGGAAGACTTTAGAGCAATTAGAGAAAGCAGGTCTGAGGAGGTTTTTTCATAACACTAACTGGGGAGGAAAGTACAAATCAAAGTATACAAAGAAAAAAAGATCACCTTATCATGAAGTATATTATCTAAATGTTAACTATTTAAACATACCTTAAATTTCTTTTTCATTTATATAGTACATTGTAGATCTATTTATTCTGGTCAATATGTAAAAGACATGTATTTTGACATATTTTCTGAGGTTTAGTAGAGACGATGGTGGACCCCAAAATTGACCTCTGTATCTACTTATAATCCCCAAAATCAAAATATATTCTCAAATGAAAAAATGGGAAATTAAATGGCATATTTAGGAATATGAAATTGATATATAGCAAATGACAACCAAATTAAAGAAACAACATTCGGGAAACAATTACGTGATCAAAGTTTAAAAATTACACAGCTCAAGAGAAATGTATGATACAAAAATGTCGTGATAAACGATGTATGTGAACATTGTAAGTAAAGTTTTTGGACAGTAGAATATGAGATGAATGTACATAGATGTAGGATAAGGTCTGTTTACTTATATATGCGTTCTTTTGCTTATATAATACCTGTCAAGTAAAAAAAATAAAAATCCGTTCCGACATTTTATTACCGAAACGAACCGTTTCTGTAACCAGAGTAATCGAGTGGATCACCAGTGACATTGAGCCAACCTCCATATTCACCAGCAGATTGAGCGCCTTGCGACTTTTATCTGTTTTCCAAGGTGAAAGACCACGTCCGAGGTATCCGATATGAAACTTTCAATGTTCTCAGAACAAAAGTCTTGCTATAACATAATAGTACTCGAATCGTTTTGAGAATATTTTTAAACCGCCACTGAATGACGTCAATTGTCTGTCGATTTGACTAATCAATGTCTTCTCAATGGAAATTTACATTATAGACATACTGTATGTCTTCTCTAAACCCCGGGGTTTTCTCCCCTCTTACTCCCGCCTATATGACGAGTATTGTACTGGGTAAATCTATATGACAAAATAAGATAAATGTTGTTTCAAATACTTGGTTTAGTTTTATAGGTGAATTATTTGATGAATAGAACATCCATTTATTTTCGTGATATCATCTTAATCCACTCATTGATACCAATATATGCACTCATTTGCTATGCTCTCATGGATAAAAATGATATCACTTCAAAATCAGAATATCCTATATAATAGGTGGGTTAACTGCATTTAGGGGGTCTGAACTTTTATCCAAAGACATAAGCCAGATGGCGCTTTATATTGGAAATATTCGCATTTTTCAAAATGGCCGCTGAAAATACAACAGAGACAATGCTTCTATGCGACCTATAATAACACGATTGATGCCTAAATCTACATTTTTGTGGGTGTAGAATTTATTACCATTCACTTAGGGTTTGAGTCTTGAAAATTAAGAACTTCCACTTTATATTCAAAATATATGTCTCTTTCAAAATGGCTGCCAGAAATGTTACAAAGATGATATCTCCGCTTCTAGATCAGGTTACTAGTCTTTATTATCCCAGTAAACAAAGTTTGGTAGGGATATAGTGAAGCCCTCCGTCCTTCAATCAGTCCATCTGGACACTATGTAAAATCCCATGATTAATATGTATGATAACATCTTATATTAATGTTTAATCTGTTGTTTAATCCAGTATCACAGAAAATATCATTCAAAATTAAAACATCTGATACGGAAAGAAAATAATATAGAGTCTGATACTAAATTTTATCACATGATTAGGAGTGACTACGCATTTTGATTGGTCAATTGTGATGATGTATATTCCGTATCACATGACACATGACTAATTTTCATGTGATACGGTGAGCTGTATCCCTACGGAGTCAATAGCAACGATGTGACGTCACACTGATTATATCACTTCAAGCTAAGGAAAACAATATGACGTCATACTATTTCACAAAAAAAGTACGAATACAACGGTATGACGTCATATTGTTTCAAAGCGAAATCAAAAATTATAATAGTTACCAAGAGTACAGAGTACTGAAAATAATCGAAACTGACCAAATCAAAATGCCTCAAAATTCCTAGACATGTGATAAAATCGTCATCACACGTTTCAGCTTATGTGATACATGAAATATTCCACTCGGGTAACAATGTATCACCACTCAAGCTTCGCTTTCGTGGATGATACAGTATTACCTTTCGTGGAATATTTCCTGTATCACATGCTGAAACATGTGATAACTGATAATACCAAAATATATTCCAATATCAGTTGATAAAATTTAGTATCACCTCAGATTTAACAGGATTATAAGGATTATACCCGTATCATTTCCGATTATAACATTCATTTTTAGTATAATACAAATTAAACTAGATTATACCAATGACAAACAGCTAATACTGTATTATACAGTTTGGGAATTTCAAAAGACTTTGTCTTGATTAGTCCAGACCTTAATTAAACAAACCTTCTTAAATATTTGTTTAAGCCAATACTTGAGACCCAGGAAGTATTTGAGAATTTTGGTAATATTTGAAAGAATTGTAATTATATAGTTCAAGTGGCAAAATTTAAATTTAAAATCCTTAAATCTCTTAGGAAATAAAATAAAATAAAACAATAACGTTAACGTGTATGATTACTGCAAACTGCGGCATATGTGATGTATGAACAAAATGTGCTAACCATTCTCTTAGAAAATTTGTCAAAAACTTAGCCTTGCTTGCATTCTAATAACAACAGTATTGTGTTTACATTTATAAATGTGGCTTTGTTTACGTGGCTCTCTTACGTCCGCAAGTTTCCATAACAAACTGCTTGTTTTGAGTATGAGTTCATTTTCTCAGCAATTGTTGCTATTTTAAGTTCTATAAAGTACATACTCGGAAGCGATGCTCGGTGTACAAATACATACATGTACATGCATGGTTCTTTTGTGCTGGACTTTCATGAATTATAGCTCAAAACTACCATTTCATATTACTAGTAGTTGTCTTGACATTGTTTTTTCTGTAGGATAACTTTATCGATGATGAATATATATTAGGTTTTCACCCAGGATATCATTCATACTTGCGCACCACAAAATACCAATGTTAGATCAAACAAGCGATTGCAGCTCAATAGAAAATCTATATAAGTTACACGTACACAAGTTAAACTGGGTGGCATTTTGGAAGGTAACTTGCACTGTGCAGTAGACTGTAATCCTCGGGTGTTTACACATATAACACGGGCCAAACATGGAATACCGAGAACGCACACATAAAAGCCAATCAATGTAAGGTACTGTTACTGGGCTGTATAAAGCTAAAAATAGTGTTTTGTGCTTTTGTGTTGTGCGATTTTCGTTTATTTCACTTTGCTTGTACGGCACATAAAGGCTTTATAACCTGTGTACATGAAAATTTTTAAATGGAAAGTTATGAATGTATGTTTATGTATGATTGTGAGTGTGGCTGGAATAATGGATGCATATGAGGGAAACTCGTTTGTATATTATGTTAGAAATGAGACTTTTAATTATGTAGATTTGTATTTGATGTCCATGTTTTTTAAATTGTGTAATTTCATTCTGCTCATAAGCCTGTAAATATTACACTATGTAGCCTGAATACAAAGGGTATACGTCAAGCCGTCAAACGACGGAGTGTCTTTTTGTATCTTAAGCGACTGAAGAAAGATATCTATTTTCTTCAGGAAACACATTCGTGTGAGAATGATTTGGATGAGTGGAAAAATGAATGGGGTAAAAATATTATCTTATCACACGGTAGAAAAAGAGGTGAACGAGGTGTTGCTGTATTGTTTAACGATAATTTTGATTGTAAGGTTGTCAAAAACACAACTGACCTCGATGGTAGATTTATTGTAGTACAGATTGAAATTGGTGGACTACAATATACACTGATTAATGTATATGCTCCAAACCTAGATAATGCTAGGAAAGAATTATTTGACGAACTATCACACTGCGTGAAATATGGGATTCCAACTCTTGACACGTCTAGAAACTGGTCTTTACACGCCGGGTTTCTAGACGTGCCAATTATTTACACCTCTTGACACGCGATGAATTCAACTCTTTACACCTCTTTGCACTTCTTGGCACACGCAGTGCAAAGACGTGTAAAGACCATGTCAAAAAGTCTTTACACGCCCTGTGACAATTAATGGAATCTCTTGACACGCTCTTGGCACACTGAACAACATAATTATGTGTAAACAACTAACCTAATTACCAATAGCAATACATACAGTATTTTAACGATTGCAAGTATTTTCTCTGATACTTTTAATTGATATATTTTTTAATCATTCTTTCGCAGACTGTTTGGAACAAGTACATGTAGCAAATATTAAACAGACTATTTTGTATGTACGCTGACACATTGACTTATTTAAACATTTTGGCAATTTCATGCCGCCTTTTGAAAATATAAATCAGTTACAGGCAATGATCCTAAGTGAAGGAAATACATATCATGATAAGAAAAAGAAAGGCGTTTCAAGGATAAAACGTGCAATAAACTTTGAAAACACTGATCCATCAGGCTTATTTATATATTTATTTTGTATTAGCTTAATATAAAGATAACCTTACTTTTCGATGAGTATTTGGATTTCGGAGTAATTTGTTTCAAGTTAAGTCAATACAAATTATGGCCGACTTAACTTGTGACCATACATATGATAAATGAGGGGCATTTTAATACACAATTGGGCAAAACAAGCATATTCAATCGAATGTACCATTCTCTCTGCTGTTCTTTCCCAGCCTATCCATAAACAGACAGGTACAAGTTCCCATAGTTTTCGCAACATCTAATTCTATGATCAATTGCTAGACACAGCAAATACTAATTAATTGTCTGATTGTGATTCGGGAACGTAGGGTTTTTACATAAACAGGATACTTGGCTGTACATAGCCTGAGAACACTGGATTGACCCCCCCCCCCAATCGACGCCTAGGCGCTGCTTATGTTTTAATAAGAAACATTCCCTTGTAAAGAATTATCGGGATATGAATTGATACAAGGTCAAGTATTCTGCCCCTTTTGTGTGATAAAAATATGTATTTAATTGGTGCTTTAACTTTTTGAACAAAGATATGAAATAATCGCACTGAATGTCTCAACATAAATCA